GTCAAGAACTATCTACATATGTAATATCCAAAAGTTTAAGCAAATTACTTTTTACAAACATAAATAAGTAACTTTTGTAAATACTAACTCCATTTCTTATAAAAAATAATACAATACATTATTGTATTTATTCACTCTACATGAAGCAAACCAATTATGCAATTAAATAATCATTTGAACAAGTATAGCAAAAGTAGCTGTTAAAAGTATACCATAACTGTTTCATGGGGGAAAAACATTTGATTTTTTAAAATTTTTGTAGACAATTAAAATGAAAATTTAAAATATGTTTCCTGATACAAGGTAAAAATTTTGAAAATTTTCTAGTATTTCCATCATTTGCAATTGAAAAGAAATCTATATACAGTTCAAGTTCATAAAACAGCTTTTTAAGGATTTAAAAATAAAAAAAAAATTGTATATAAAGCAGTCTTTTTCAAACAACATTTTATTTTTTAACAATTCACCAAAAACCTTTCTAGACAAGTTCTACTATGTAAACAACAACATTGAGTCGAAACCGAATAACTTCCAATCCTAATTCCGGTATAATGTTAATCTGTGGGAAAACATCGAAATTCAACCAAGTTCTTCAAAATTCTAATGCAAGTTTTGAAACATTTTTTGAACTATATGGATAGACTATGATTTGTAGATTTCAGACACAGGATTTTGTATCACTTCTTTCAGTATCTTTTCTAAAATATCTTGTTAATCTTTTGGCTTTAAGCAATGGTGATTTTGCTATAACCGGAAGTAGAAAAAGGTACTAATGACTGCAGCGCCCTGATAGTAAGCTTTACGGTAGAACTTGTCCATACAAACTAAATAAAATTTGAATAATGGCGTTTCAAATTCTAAAATATTAACAAAGCAATTTAATCTCAAAAGTCAAAAGATAACATTTACCTGTGACAATAAATTGTGAAATGAACATTTCTGTTAATTTTTATAATCATCCTCTCCCTCTTATTAATTTGTTTTCTAAATATCTACATAAGCATACGCATATCCAAAAAAAAAGGCATGCATATTCTCTCAAAAAAAAAATTAATTCATACTTTCTTTCAAGACATAATTTGAAAAATGAATACATTTAAAATAATTAAAATAAAAATACAGAGAAAAAATCCTTAATGGTACACAAACCAGATATTAACATATATATTTTAATTATTTTCTGAACAGTTTTAGTTAATAAATAGCGACATATCACTTTTTTAATAAATCTATTGTAATAAAGCCAAGACTTTTTTTTTTGCTTCATACCATTTTTAGAAAATTTATCATTAGTTATTGTTGTTCTTATAAAGAGCAGTTGAGATTTAATTTATTTTAAATTAATTTTTGCATCTTATACTACTTTTATAACTCAATGTGAGAAATCTACTCCACAATCTTAGTGCAAACCTACTACACAAATATTCAAAATACAGGTACCACGTTCAAAGAAACCAGAGCTTCAAGAAAACATTTTTTTAATATACTGAAAGAACATAATGATATTAGGAATAAAGTTCTAGTAAAAAAAAAATCCAGATTGTAACTTCTTAATGTAAGAAAATTTAGTAATCTTGAAAAAGCACTGAAAATATCCATCTTTACCAATAGCTAATTGAAGTTGTTGGTATTTCGCTCCTCTGAGGTATCTAGCAAGGCGTAACTTAACAGATTTTCCAGTGCTTCTTAATACTTCAACTGCATCATGATTAGTATAGCCGTGTAAAGGGCGACCATCCACCTGAAAAAAATATATGCATATTTAGAAAAGAGACATTTATGTTTCAAAATATCGTAACTCGTGACTAAAAGCGTAAATAAATAAATTTAAAACAATAGGTAAAACAAAAGTATTAAATACCAAAGACTGACAAAAAATGCAGCCAAAATACAGATCTCGAATACTAACATTTACAAAAACAATTTTTAAAATTTTTTTTTGCAAGTTTTAAGTTATTACGAAACAGAACAGAAAAAGGTAACAGAAAAATGTACGATACTTGTACAGGACAAGAAAATTTATTAAAATATAATCCTATGAAAAATTCTAGTACTGTTCAAATCAAATTACGTACCCAAATGCCGCGATATAATGCAGCCAATACTGGAAAACCGTTTCCCAACATGTTACAAAACAAATACCATCACAACATTAGATAAAAAAATTTTGAATTGGCGAAATTGGTAGATAGTATAATACGTAATAATCCGAGTTGATAATCAAAAATCAAACTTAAAATAAAAGTTACTAGAAAAGGATAGTTAAAAAGGGATACAAAAATGTTTCGGTTGTGAGAAAAAAGCGCAATAAACGATATTAGTTATCAAAACAAACAAAGAGGGAGAAACGGAAAAACTGATCCAGAATTCCTGAATTTCAAAACAAAAATAAACAAAAACGTTTAAAGCATTCATAAAATATTTCTGATCAATTCGATCTATTTCTTGATGTATATTTTTTAAAGGCAATAAGCTTCATTTCATAAAAGCACCTATAATATTTTACCGTTACTATTCAATATAAAAGTTTGCAAAACATATATATCTACTTAAGAAAAAGATTGTTTAGATCTTAGGAAAAGAAAACGACTCAATTGAATACGGACACAGGATATGGGTTCATAAACACAGTCAGCCTTACAAATAAAAATTTACATACTGAAATTCAAGTTATATGACATAAACATGCCTATGAATTTCATTTCAGAAAATGCTTTCTAGGCTTCCTAAAAGTTTTGCACCAGCCCAGTTTCTAACATATTCTCTTTCATACATTACCATGAGTTGAATGATATTTTTTCCGATGGTAAAGATATTCATACATTTGAACCACTAGGGATCAATGACATTTCACGTATATCGGCGCAAATGTTTCAACTTTCGAATATCATGGAATACATATATTTCGGGCTTTGCATTCCCGAAGGATTCCTTTTTCTTCACGCGCGTATATCTTTTTTTTATTTTCAAACACAAAGGATTTGTATTCTTTGAATGAAAGGTATAGATGTTTACATGATCTATGTTTTCCTGGAAGCCAGCAAGTCAAGATAACCTTTTGTATGACACAATGTAGGGAAGAATTAAAAGTTTCGTGGAAAAATCAAAATAGAGAAATCTGCTAGTTTAACATTGAAAAGAAAATTCACTATTCTGTGTGTGCACAATTCTTCCTCATATACTATAATCTTAATTTTATTTGCTTGAAAATAAATACATCAAACTCTTTAATTGTTTATTAATGATTCACTTTGAAGCTACATAAGGGATACTGGTGACAGGGCCGGCTCTAGTAGTTTTACCGCCCCTCTCTCCAAAGCAAAAAATTAAAATTAAAAAAGATGAATTGTTCACATAAATACACACCCACAGAATAATTTTAGCAAACGAAAAGGGAGCATAACAATTATACGTATTATTTTAAGTCTTAAAAAATACAAAATAATTCGAAATTAAGAACATAACCATCTATTATTTGAAACGAGTAAAATTTAAGAGAAAGAATCACCCATTTCAGCAGGTCGATTTCTTCGAAAAAGAGTCTACTGATGGTGGGGATCACAAGCGTTTATTTTAACATACAAACTACACTCGAGACTAAAATAAAACATCTCATGTGCTTCTCTATCAACCGAAAATTCTAATTACCCCTGTCCCCTTTTGGATAGCTGAAACTGGACATCGTATGGGTAAAAAGAATGTCAGTTGTGACCCCACTCCGGGCTGGGGAGAAAGTTACAAGTGAAAGAAGTGTAAACATATCAAATTTAATTATTTAACATGTACTCCCACTACGAATCCTTCAAGTTTCAACAGAAACTGGCATTAAACCGGTTTAAGCTACTTTCGGGCCCTGGGCGCAGAAGATCTATGGGCCCCTTTCCCACTGACGGATCGAAATTTATTACCAGAAAAGCTGGTTAAGTCCAGCTTATCCGGGCAAATGGGCACCCGCCCCAAGCACCCAATGGATAAATCGACACTGATTAAACGTACAGAGTACAAAATAAGGAAATAAGATACTTAAATAAAATACCAAATTCCCCACCCAATAATATTTCAGGAAATATGTACAATTTTTTGTAAAAAAAAATATTTCTCAAGTTCGATCCGAATGCCGCCCTTAAAATTTGCCGCCCCGGTCAGGGGTCCGGTTTGCCCGGCCATAGGATCGCCCCTGCTGGTGACGGACCTCATAATATTGAACCATGAGCAAGTGATGAGGACCACATCAGAACTGGCACCACTCTCCAGGAATATATCAACACGAGGCCTTCACGCCTCAATATATTTCACGTGCATCAGAAAATCTACCTAATGAGCCATTCGTAGTCTTTAAGACTCGAACTCGCGATTAGACGGATAACATCACAGGTTAAGTGTTCGCGACAATAACCACTTGGCTAGCACAAACAAACTCGTGAGCCCCAATAAGTAAGTATACGGTTAGGCCAATATAAAAACGGTTAAAATATTTTAATAATCATTCAAATTTTAATTTTTTATAAGTATTTGACTATACACAATAAAAAGAAATTACACTATACTATGTTGGATTTAATCTTTAGTAAGGATATAAACATAACGTTTTTCCTAAATATGTTATTTTTAAACAAAGCCTACATTGACTTAAATCAGAGGAGCAATAGCCCATAAGAGTCAAAGCCTACTGTGCTCATCTTAGTATACCTGACTTGGGGCTCTGAGGTGCATGAGCAGATGTTCCGGTCAGGCGGTCAGTCTGGCGCGAAATCCCCAGTGTTAAGTTCCCAAGCAAGCTTGGTACTAAAAAATCAACCCAGTGAAAGGATGAAAAGCTGAGTCCACCTTGCCCAGCCCGGGTTTGAAACTCAGACCAGTGGTGTGGAATCGCGATGCACTATCACTCAACTACTTAGCTTAAAAAAAACAAGTCGATTGCGTGACTCGAACCCTGACCTATCGCACGAATGCAGGTGCGCTATCACCTATGCCAATGCATTGGTATATATATATATACTCCCAACTACTGATCACGCCCGATTATGCTTAACTTCGGTGATCGGACGAGAACCGGTGTTTTCCGCATGGTATGGCCGTTGCCAAACCTACATTTCTATACTAAAAAATCAGCAAATATTAATATAAAAGAATGTTTATTTGGCCCACGTTAGTCATTGATGCTTAACTGGGATGTTTTTCTATATCTGGCTACCGCTGCTGAAATTAACATTTTTCACGCCCGTAGTTAATGAAGAAAATTATAACCCTACATTTTCGCTGTTAGAAAGATAATTATAAAAGATTATATACATTTAAAACAGCTTGGGGTGTAAATTCTTAATATATGTTACTCTTAACAAATACACCAAACTTAGTAAAAGCTCTTTAATGCGTATTTTAGTAAAACAATTTGCAAAAACCTACTGAATTTTAAAAAAATTACCTCGATAATTTGATCATTTACTCGAATTTTACCGCACATATCAGCCGCACTTCCTTTAGCAATACTCTTCACAAAAATCCCAGATATTTCTTCTGAAAAGAAAATACAAGAATTTACAAATGCAAATTTGATCTAAATTTTACAGACATTAAATATTAAATATACAAGAATATCCTTACATAAAAACTAAAACAATAAAAAGTTTTTTAAAGTTTAAGAATTAAAAAAAAACTGATCCTTCAAGAAAAATAATTGTGAGATCCTCTGAATAATCCTCTCTGTTATTGTTCAATACAACCATTGAACGTCAGATGCTTGCCAACATTAGCATTCCTAACTTCAAATAGTTTGTATGGTTGTTCAGACAACAGTTTTTTGTAAATTAGAATACGTCGTTCTCTTTTTTTTTAAATAATATTTTTGCAACTAAATAAATTTTGAGTTGAGCTTCTATTTAAACTTACACAGCAGAGTCAAAGAGTAGATAGCAAAATGATGGAATAAATATTACAAAAGAAAACTAAAATAGCATTTAAATCAATACAAATATCTAAAATGCCAACAAGGAAAATTAAAATATTTCTGGTAAAATAATCATAATATGGCATCCACATATTACGAATACCAAAAATATACTTCTATAAATATAATTTATTGAATGACATAACTGAAAACATGCGGAATTCAAAATTAATCATGGCATGAGACGCTTTCTTTTTTTAACAAAACAGCATTGGAAACTGATGTTTGGAGTGAGTCATATTAACGTCGCACTATAAAGCAACATAATGGTTTGGGCGATGGACCACGTACTTCTGAAGCACGGTCAAATGACGAGGACGACACCTGAGCTGGTGTCCTTAACACGTGCAACAGCCCCCTCTGCACAGAGTGTCTTCATTGGCACCAAGACTCGAACCCGCGAATGTTTAGAACAATAAAGAATATTATATAAAGAGTGTTTTTTTCCAGGTATAGAAGTTTAAGTTGGCATTAGTTTCCAAAATGGCGACCGATTTAACAGCTGTCAAGTGATTTATTCTCAGTTTGGTTTGGCAATTCATCAAAACGATCATCAAACAAGGCGTAGATTCGTCGAATGGGCCCAAAACGAGATTGCCGTTGCTCCCGATTTTCATAAGCGAATATTGTTTAGTGATGAAGCGCACTTCTGGTTGAATGGCTACGTCAACAAACAAAACTGCCGCATTTGGAGTGAAGCTAATCCACAAGCTAAACACCGTTACATCCAGAAAAACTGACTGTTTGGTGCGCTTTATGGGCTGACGGAATCCTTCTTCAAAAAAGATGAAGGCCACAACGTTACAGTCAATGGTGATCGGTATAGAGCCATGATTACTAACTTTTTCATTCCTGAGTTGAACAATCATGATGTCCAGGAGCTGTGGTTCCAACAAGACGGCGCAACATGTCACACAGCTCGTGCCACAATCGATTTATTGAAAGACACGTTTGGTGACCGCCTAATTTCACGTTTTGGACCTGTGAATTGGCCTCCAAGATCTTGTGATTTAACACCGCTAGACTATTTTCTGTGGGGCTATGTAAAGTCATTGGTCTATGCGGATAAGCCACAAACGCTTGACCCTTTGGAAGACAACATTCGCCGTGTTATTGCCGATATACGGCCACAAATGTTGAAAAAAGTCATCGAAAATTGGACGTCCAGATTGGACTACATCCGAGCCAGCCGTGGCAGTCCTATGCCAGAAATCATATTTAAAATGTAATGCTACAAGATTATCTTTCGAATAAAAAAAAATTCATGTCAATCGTTGTTTTATTGCAATTTAAAGTTCTATACCTCTAAAAAAACACCCTTCATAAACCCAACTTTTCTTTCTCTACAATGATACTAATAAATGAACAAAATACATATTAAAAGAAATATTGGTATGCAACTCGGTGAAAATTTGAATTCTTGAATGAAAAAAGTGAACTACAGAAAATTGTAAGATTAATGAAACAAACCACAAAAGCTTATTCTTCTAGCTTGTTAAAATATAATAATGAAAGTCTTCTGAAAACCAAAACAATTGATAATAGAAAATTAAACATTCCCTCAAGATTCCAAATGGAATAGTCGAAGGAAAAGAAACCAGACACGGGAAGTTTATTTTTTGAGCAGTATTATTATATTACTAACACCATAAAAATATTTATACGTAAATAAAACTTCTTTCCAAAATTTAAAAATTACAAATCTCAAAACAAAATTTCAATTGCGTCATACATACAAAAATGCAATGAAAAGAAAATAAAGTAAAATAAGATGGCAATAAAAAAATTATTCATAAGTGTCATACATAGTTTGATCGATACACTGATAGATTGCATTTAATGATACATAAATAGGTCAAAAAGTAAATGCGAGACAATCAATAGCTAAAAATAATAGTCTCCCTCTAGCAACAACATATCGATATAATTTACAGACTACAGCGCAGTCTGTGAAAGCTCAACTTTAAACAGTTATAAAAGGATATAAGAATTTAATTATTTAAAGTGCAAAAATTTTTCCCCAGCATAATGCATGCAAAAATTCAAAATATATTTGAAGACCAAATGCCAATTTTTATACTTTCTTTTAAGTCTCAAGAGTATTTATGTGTAGAATAGATGTGAAAGATAAAAGAAAATCGCTTTGTTGAGGAAAGCAAGGGCAAAATGAAAAGATGAAAACTTTCAACTTTTAAACAAAGTCGGAAAGGCTACAAAGAAACTGCGAAAAACCTTTAACTAGTTTCGATTCAATATACTTTAAGGATATTGGTTTTCTATTTGCCAAAGGAAGAACTAGAAGAGTGGAAAAATTGCGTTTGTTTATCTTTCAAAGCAAACAAGAACTTCATCACGAAACAATAAGGCCCGAGCAACAAGGAGCCGAAAGAACGGAGAAACTTGGACCGATAATAACAAACCATCCTTTAAAAAATACTCCGAAAGTAATTGCATCAAAAATTAAACTTTATGGAAAGAAATTTCATCACAGCTAAGGTACATCGTACGACAGTGACATGCACTAAACAAACAAAGGAGCGAAGATTAAAATAATTTTTTTATAACTATCTTTTAAAATATGCCCCATTTTCTACTATGCATAAATTGCTGATGCGTGTGTAATGAAGCAAAAATATATTAAAAGAATTCCTTTCTTTATTTAAACATATTTGACAACATAGAATTAACACCAATTGAATCCTTTTCAGTTCAAATAAAATATGTCTTTCAAAAACAGAACTGGCAAGTTTAAAATAATGGACTTGAATTTTTGTACATTGAAATTTAAATAAATATACATTACTTTTTAACAGTACACATGTGAATATATATATCATGTATGCACTCTCTAAATCATAATTGCAAATACTTTATTTCGAAACATGCGTCGTCATTTCATTTCACATTAAAGGATTGAAACATATTTTGACAGATTTATTCGTCATTACAAGAAAGAAAATATTAAAGCTTATACTTGCTGAGAGGTAGAAACTTTTAATTTAATTTCTTACGCGTATAAATTTCTAAAAATAACATTTCCCATCACTTGAATATGTGAATATATTTTGTCTATTACATCTGCCGTGGTTTTCTTTATATTTAAATGTAAAAAAAGAATAAATTTCGCTCTTGATTGCTAGGTACTTGAGAGGAGAGGATGCAGAATTTTTTTACACAAGCGTAACGAAATCATTTGTAACCTTTAACGTTAAGTTGAAGTTATTTTACAAACAAACAAAATGCATCAAAAATATATTTTCTATTATGAAGTTTCCAGAATATTTTTTTTTAAATGACCTGAATTTTTTTTTTCGCCAGTTAAGTCTTTGCCGACACGGAAAGTCTCCAAGTGTTAGAGTCCTTTCATTGGTGGCACCATCTAGTGTGGCGTCTCTTTCTATCATAATTTTGGAAGTTTGAATTTATTCAATTTAAGGTCTCGTCGGAGTTATATATTGCCGTGATTCAATTTTGCCGAGAGTACCAGAGCCAAATTGATACTCAAGGAATCTTTTACATGCCACATAATCATATAGCACATGCGTGCCTACGATTTTCGCATCCAGAAAATCTATCGACTCTAACCGGGATCGAACTCGCAACTTTGCGCTTACGAGGCGGACACGCTACCTCTAAGCTAACGTTTGGATATATTTTATATTATAACTACTGTATTTTTCCAGTTAATAACAACTTCCCTAATGAACTTTAATTATAATCACTTTGTATATAAATCATTCTCAAATTTTTGAGGATGATAATTTATCCCTTGTATACAAATCGTAATCTCTCAAATATTTTCTCTTATTATATACGTAATGTATCAAGGAAAGTAATGAATGGTTTACTGCGTGGGTAAATTCTTTCTTCACGGAAATAAAATTTTAGTGACCAATTACATAAATTTTCAACCGAACACTAAAAAATTGGATAAAACTAAATTAAAAACGCAAATAGAACAGGTAGGTTTCAAGTATTTTAGATAATTATACCAGAATTATTCAAGTTCCGTACATGTTTAGATATCAATTATATACAGATTGATGAGAAAACGTGAATATAAAAAACAATGTTAGGCACATTTTCAAGTGGGTTGCATACAGAATATATAGAATTCTTCAAGCCATTTTAG